GATGTTAACGACCTCAGAGCTCACTTTGGTTTGTATGAGGAGAGAACATTTGGCGTTGGTCATTTAACGTGCATATATGTGTGGGTGAAGATTTGACAAATGTACTACCGTTATATGGGAGACATGTATTTCAGTTTTTCTGTTACTGGTCTGGAATGTTAAGACAATTCAGTGAAAGGTATTGTAACTGGGTATTGAGTCAAGTACAACCATGTATGTCAAGATGCCCGTGTCGCGAGATTGTGACATGGACATCTGATATCATTTTGGTTGTAGAGCACGACCACACACTTTCAACATCCATAAGAAATCTCTGCTTAAAGCAAAATCAATTATAGGCTTCTGGCTATATCATGAACATGTGTTTATGATAAGCATCCGTCATGACAGTAAGTCATCTATTTCCCCGAAGATACAAGGGAGCATATGATACAAGTCAAATCTGGGAATTGTATCAGACATCATCTGTGTCACTGATGCGTCAAACTTGAAAACGTCCTCAACATGTTCAACACAAAATGTTTTGGAAACCTTTACCCAGCCCTTGAATGTTGTAAACTTCAAACAACATCTGGTAAAAACCTTGAGCAAGTTCAATTTGTACCCCAAACGTTGTATATACTAGTTCTAAAGGCAGGACAGAGATGGTGCTCGACATTTAGGGCACAATTACTATTGGAAACTAGACGTCATCCCTTTTGTGATACAGTCTTATGGAGAGCTTCTTGTCACTCTGAATCTTGAAGCATAAATCTAAATACGAAATAGATAAGTTGTCTCGATGGCCTCCTATATTCCCAGTTCAGGTGGGAAAATCAATGGTAGAGAACTGATTGCTTGAAATTTTAATGAACGTTATCAGATCAGGGTGTACCTGTAGTTTGAATTAAACTTCTTGGTTCCGAGTAATCTTAAAGCATCTAAAACAGCACAGTTTAATCCCTGTTAGTATAAACATATTCTTGAAGCTTTTCCATTTGTAAAAGAGTCACAACCAACATCTAACGTCTCCTTTGGCAAATGAGTGAGTGAGTTTAGTTGTACGCCGCACTCAGCAATATTCCAGTTATATGGCAGCGGTCTGTACATAATCGAGTCTAGACCATACAAGCCAGTGATCAACAGCTTGAGCATCGATCCACACAATTGGGATACGATGACATGTGTTAACCAAGCCAGCGAGCCTGACCACCCGATCCCGTTAGTCGCCTCTTACGATAATCATGAGATACTGAAGATCAGTTCTAACCCGGATCTTCACGGGTCGGCAAATGATAAAGAGGCAACTGCAGGAGGCCAGGGTAATCGGTGAGTGGAGGATACATGTCTTAGTGCAAGTGAAAAACAATGTAACGCTCCCACGTTTTTGTGAGACCTCGTAAACTGTGAACCAAGCCGAAGTCATCATTCAGTAAGACAAAGCTAAGCAATAGCAGGTTTCGTACGGAACCACAATGTACGGCACCTCCCATGACCCTTAAATCGTTAGATTTGAGCCCGATACATCACCAATGGGATCGGCTTGAGCGTGACGTTCGCCTCGCCTGCGGTACACTCGGGCCCTGCCGTCGGCAAATCTCAATGTGAATCGAGATTCGTCGCTGAAGACAACCGAATTCTACCGTCTTAGATTGAACCTTATGTGTCTTGTGGCCCACACCAGTCGGTTGCGGTGATGAAGAGGCGTTAAAATTGGTCCCTTATGTGGTCTTTGGGTGCGAAGTCCAGGGTCACGCAAGCGATTTCCGACAGTTTGTGCAGTTATCCTTCTACCAAACATCTCCCTACTTGTGGAAGTTGCAGTAGCAAATCTGTTCCGAAGATGACGTATCGTATTGTTTGATCTTCCCGGAGTGACGTCACACGTGACGCTCCCGGCCTCGGGCGGTCGGCAACAGTTCCGGTTTGATTCACTCTCATCCGAAGAACGTCGTCATATGAGCGAAATTTTCTCAAGTACAACGTAAAACCCAATTTCACCTCACTTCACCTCATCGGAAGATTTAAAGATTGTTTGTCGTGAGCAATCAAATGCTCTTGCAACAGCAACCACAGACTGACCAGCATCCAGCATCCAGCATCCAGCATCCCCATAGCACGTTGACGTTCTTGATTTAAAAGGCGTGTCATTCCAAACAAAGATTAAAATAAAAAGTTGAGTTTGTTTTTCCAGCTCACATTCATTAACCAAACATGCACCGAATGACCTCATGAATTTGCTTTTCACACGTGCATTTCGTGTTTTTCATATTGATAGGCTACAACGTTCCCGAAATGAAAGCATTCACACTGTTTGGTACTGTTTAATGTACTTGTCAATTTATTTCACTAAACAGAAAAGAAAAATGTTGAAATTTATCAGTGTCAAGTTGTTGTTTTTAGTTTTTCAGAGTACATTATAAACCATGATTTCAGATGATCAGTTTGTTTTAGTTTCGTCCCACACCTGGTTGTGTTTCTTTTCTATATCTATAAATCACTGTTGTTGGAGCATGCGGCAGATAAAACGGTTCACTCCCATTATTACTACTCCCCGTTTTACTACCCGTCCAATTCACAATCTGTTCCAGTCAAATGGTTTTTAATTACTAGCTCTCTCCTCTCCGTCAGGTAGACTGTTCCACCATAATAATATATATCAAAACAATTATAGCTATGCAAGATTCATACAATATTTATTCAGCTAATTCCTTTTCAAGGGTGGTGCAGGAGCTCTATTGTACAGTTGGGCAGTCCTCCTCCTATTCATTGTCTCGATGCCCTTGAGTGCATCATCAACAGGCAGTTGGCGGAACTCTTCATTGTAGATCGGAGGCACTGGAGTTGACTCATCCCTGACTCTTCTTCTTAGTGTGCTCATGAGTCTAACTATGGCTGGATTGTCGCTCCGAGATTGTGCTCTCCTGTAACTGTTCTGGTAAAATCTCCAGTTGTTGACAAATTGCTTCTACGTCTTGGAACAACACGCTTACAGTAATCAGCCACATTACCAGTCTTGTTCACCTTATACCGAAATCCTGCATGCAGCACTTGTCAGGCTCCTCTCTGAGGTGCAACAAACTCTGCTCGCCGAACACCAGCCATAGATAACCCAAAATCTCTGTGACTGGGTCTTATATACTTGTTGATAAATGTGACAGTTAAAACATTTTAATGCTGTATCCCTATAACTGAAAAACTGCGAAGAGGAACCAAAGTATGACGATTACCTGTACCTTTTCAATCAGAGTAGAGGGATTATCTTAGCTTGGGTTCTAATGTGGAGGGACGACGTCCAATTTCCAAAACAAACAACCTCTACTATACGTATGAATAGTTTTATTCAGAGTAGAGTAGTTATCTCCAAATATCAAAACAAACAATAAATGATCACAAAATCCCTGATGCACTTAGTTTCTAATGATTCAAACACGGGTAGTCCCCGGGAGTCTCCCTAGTAGGTTTATTTCAAAGAGTAGACAAACTGGGAGTAATCAGCTTTACAGGTACAGTACATTATTAAGTGTAGGGGTGCTCCATTATATGTTTATGTTCATGAGTAAACAAAATGGGAGTAGCCATAATGAGAAGATACCGATAAAACATTCCACTCGGGACACAAACTTGGTGAAGATGGTGAAACTCATTATATATCCCATAAGTATAGTTTTTATAAACGTTTGATTTCATGAACAAAGAAATAGATCCTTATCAAACAAATCATTACAGTTAAAAATTTCATGTTTGTATGTAATGTATGTAGTGATGTTTTCCTGGACAACTCAAATCCCGTAAGTTGCATCCTGAATCAAGCGTGGGTTGCTGAAGATAAATTGTAACCTGGACGCCCACGGGACATATCATCATGAGAAATGATGAAAGGAATCACTGCATTCGGTGAACCAGTTTCCCACATCATATTTTAATTTTGCATAATTGCAAACAATGGCCAGGAGTGTAGAGACCAAGATGATAGTCACACACACGCATGCACGCACGCACGCACACATACATACATAGATATAGATATATATATACACACATACATAAATATATATATAAATATTATATTATATTATATTATATATATTATATTATATTATATTATATTATATTATATTATATTATATTATATTATATTATATTATATTATATCATATCATATCATATCATATCATATCATAGTATGTATGTATGTATGTATGTATGTATGTATGTATGTATGTATGTGTATGTATGTATGTATGTATGTATGTATGTATGTATGTATGTATGTATGTATGTATGTATGTATAATATATACAGTGAGACCTCGGATACCCGGACACCAGATATCCGGAAACCTCGCCTCCCGGTCAATTTTTAGAAAAAACCTTTCTCTTACGTTATAAAAGTGACTGTCTATAACGGATATTCGGTTTCCGTTTCCGGACGGTACATTTTACAAACAAACCGGCTAAATCAACACAAAATTGACTCACCTATCCGCACGAAGCTTTGATCTACCGCTAACCGTGTGAAGGGAAGTGCGAGAGTCCCACGTGTTTTGACACGAGACGTGGTGTCATATATATTATTGTGTCTACTCACGGATCGAAACGAAGTGTAGTTGACAGAAAATGTATATATTCACCGCTACAATCTCCCTGAAGAGTAAAGAACGAATAATGTTGGAGAAAAAGGCATTGTTTTTATTTATCTATTCAATATATATATATATATATATATATATATATATATATATATATATATATATATATATATATATATATATACACAGTATTACATGTCCATATATAAAAGACATCCTTAAAATAATTCCACGACACTAAACTAAAAAACAATTTTCTTTTACGCAATTATAGTAGCGTGGAACCATACTTGTTACTGACAACTTACCAACCCTCTTTTTGTACTGATCCACCTGAGACGACACAGTGTTCAATAGTGCAGTGGTGCGTTTGTTTATGTAATAGACATTCCCTTGCTTGCAACTGCCACAACTGTTGGATACACAAACCATGAAGTTGGTACTACCAAGAGGTCCTTTGCCCAGAGCTTTAATCTTCTTTCAAATGTATCTGGTGTTGGTTACACATGGAAGCGATTATCGACAGGGTCACTTTCAAGCAATACCATCCCTGGAAAATTATATTGTCATGGATTCTGCTTTGTGGGTTCGAGGGAACGTCAGAGGTATAAGTCGGTGCACCCTGATGTGTTTGGCGGACGAGTCTTGTGGGTCTTTTTTCTACAACACTGTCACTGGGAGCTGCATCGGGCACAGCAACGTTCTTACATGGACGGCAACTGCTTCTGCAGCCTCGGGTTCTGTTTACTACAAAAGGAACGTACAATCTGGTAAATGGTTTGTCCATATACATTCTTAAATGTGTATTTTCGATAAATGTGTATTTCAAGAAGAAATCATACGTGTGACTTTTCCTAGGTGCTGGTAACGAGTGGCATTTTATGAACGAATCTCGTCAAAGAGCTGTTGTATGTTTCGTCAGAATGGGGTTCGCCGCCACACTAATCCGCTTGGGGGCGCGAGTGTACTATCGGTTATTGTGGCGCTGATCTTGTACTGGTTCATTATGGCCTATGCGCTGCGCCAACGTTGCGCCAGTCACCGTGCAGAACTCAGCGGAATCGAGAGCGGAAACCAAGCTCGGTTACTACTGACGCGATGAATGCCCTTAGTCCTAGATTTGATGTATATAGATCCTTTAAAACAATTATTGAACCTGGGAGATATTTACGAAACATTACAAGCAAGAAACATAGAACTACAGTTATAAGAGTCAGACTTGTTTTGACAGATATAATTATTAATACGGATAAAAACAATCACTGGCCAAAACATTTAAGATTTTGTTCTGTTTCTATGACGGATATCGAAGACGAATATCATCTGTTGTTTGTATGTGATGCACATGACGATTTAAGAAAGGAGTATGTTCCACAGACATATTTGTGCCACCATACTGGGGAAACATTTATCAGATTTTTATCATCAGAAGATGAATCTGTTGATGTAGAATTAGTCCCATTTTTAACGCATTCGTTGACATGAAGAAAGAGTTCTTCTTCTGGCATCTTATTACACAATGTTATGACGCTTTTCACTATTTGCATTTGGCTACCATTATATAGAGTATAATACCATGTGTACGGACCGGAGGTCTTATTAACAATAAACTGTCTTGATCTTAATGCAGGAAATCCGTTGTAGCAGTTGCACAAGCCCCGAGCGTTAGTTATCCGACAGTCTGATTACTGAATTTTCGTCCTTGATGGCAACCAATTTTATAATATTAAATGTATGATGTTATGCATAAGCATACAAAACCATTTCACATATTTTTATGTTGTACAAATATCAGCCAGTATTTTGCCCGTTCACAGTTACCGTAAAGATGTCAAATTATGAACATTGCACAGTACCTTTTTTCGGTGAAAGCTGAGAAATTACAGTTGCTGAACGCCCAATAACATTTTGCGCAACACTTAGCAGTGTCTATATTTTCAAACCGTCTGAATTTGCACTTGAATTTACACCGTCCCAAGTGCCGCGCGAACGCAATTCTCGCACAGCGTTATAATTAGCTTTTCATGACCAAAGAATCTGCGTCAGAAAAAAAAAATCAATACTGGCATCCGGGGTGTAAACTTTTACGATGGGTCTTCAGACAGGTTTAACCCGAGGCAGGGTAATATGTTTGTCTTCAGTAATAAGTCAGGTTACGCATTCAGTAGGACTGGAGGATAAAACGTCCGGCATAGTTAGTTAGTTAGTTAGTGAGTTAATATTTAACGTCACATCGGCCATATCGTGACGAAAGCAATTTATACAATAAAAAGTGAAATGAGAACATGTGACATTGAAATGGAATATATGTACGTTATAAAAACCTGTCGACGAAGGACAGTAAAACAACTAGAATATCACAATTACAACTAAAACTAGTGTGGAAAGTTAAAACTAATAGCACTATTTGGACAATACAATGTATAAACAGGCTATAGATCGCCAACACCAGAAGGTAGATCACCATACCAGGACCATGGGGACTTACAGTACCTTTGCTACCTGCATGGACCCTAGTTGGATTTACACCATCCCTTCAGCTGCTGGCGATTGTAAGAAATGTTAGCCAAAATTAAAATGACAAGAATACTACGTTTAAAAATCCTGGCAAGTTTAAATTGACTTTGAAAATTTTGGGACTTACGTACCCTCTCAGGAGGACAATAATTTTACAATACTTCAACCCCCCTTGTGGATACAGCCACTAACAATCTAAGGTATTAATTTAAACTTCCAATCATAAAATATTTATCTATTTACAAATTAGTTAACAAATCTAATTCTTTTAAAAATGCAATAATTAAATGAGAACTGACATTAGTAAAAAGATCCTTCATAGTTCGTGCTTTGAAATAGTTATCCCTTGTGATGGAATATTCAATACAGTCAAGCAGGACATGCTTGACCGTGATTCTTTCATCACAAGGGATACAAAACGGAGGATCCTCACCTTTAAGCAAATATTCATGTGTATATCTTGTTTGGCCAATACGACATCGTCGTATGATGACCTCTTCAAATCTGGACTCACAACCCAAGTAGGTGTAACCAATGTAAGGTTTTATTTCATGTAATTTATTAATACCTACTTGGGTGTCCCACTTCTTCTGCATCAGATCACGGATGCAAGTTCTAATGCTAGCTTTGTAATCAGAGTATGGAATAAGAAGTGGTGTCACAGATTTGTTGAGTGCTGCCTTGGCAGCAAGATCAGCCATTGTATTCCCAGAAATGCCAACGTGGCTGGGTAACCAACAAAAGACGATGTCGCATTGGCCAGTAGCAAGTTCATTGTACAATTCAATAATTTCTAATAAAAGTGGATGTTTACAAGAAAGATTTTTAATAGCCTGAAGACACGAAAGAGAATCGAAAAAGATGATATATTGTTTATGTTTACAGTGTTTATTAATATATTTGAGAGCTGTTAAGATGGCGTTAGTTTCTGCTGTGAAAATAGTGCTGTTATTTGGTAATCGAGAAGATATTGTTCTGGATCCAATGACAGTGGCCGTCTGGCATAGTGTTGTGTTTGTAAGGGTTGACCGATAAGGAAGAGGCAGAGTAATTCTTTGGGAGCATTTTGAACCAACGGTCGATCTTAAATGATTGTCGTCCAGAGGAATCGTACTGCCATCCACCATAACTGCAATGCATCGACGACTGTCCTGTCTTGCAAATAAATTGCCAGTACATGTCCATCGTTAACAATATCAAGGGTACCAGTAGTACAGTAGTATAGAGTGGAATTCACTCACTACCAGTGACAAAACGATTTGAGAGTGAGCGAGTTAAGAAGTTTAAGTCACATCGGCAGTATTTCAGTCATATCGTGGCTACATCAGGTTCTAGCTTCATAATAATTATTTAAAGGTAAATCATAAAAGCCTGTCAACGTAGGACAGTAAAATAACTAGATTATTACAGATATTAATCTAAAACCAGTAATTAATTCTAAAATATTTTAACTATAGATGACACGACACTATAAAAACAGGCTATAGATCGCCAACAACTGAAGGTAGATCACCATACTATGGACCATGGGGACTTACAGTACAGTTACTTGGACCCTAACTGGATTTACACCATCCCTTCAGCTGTTAGTAATTCATACAATCTTAGCCATAAATTAAAATACCGTATACACTACGGTTAAAAATCCTGGCATGTTTAAATTGACTTTGAAATTTTGGACTTACGTATCCCATAAGGAGGACAATGGTTTTACAATACTTCAACCCTTTAAGCAAATATTCATGTGTATATCTTGTTTGGCCAATACGACATCGTCGTATGATGACCTCTTCAAATCTGGACTCACAACCCAAGTAGGTGTAACCAATGTAAGGTTTTATTTCATGTAATTTATTAATACCTACTTGGGTGTCCCACTTCTTCTGCATCAGATCACGGATGTAAGTTCTAATGCTAGCTTTGTAATCAGAGTATGGAATAAGAAGTGGTGTCACAGATTTGTTGAGTGCTGCCTTGGCAGCAAGATCAGCCATTGTATTCCCAGAAATGCCAACGTGGCTGGGTAACCAACAAAAGGCGATGTCGCATTGGCCAGTAGCAAGTTCATTGTACAATTCAATAATTTCTAATAAAAGTGGATGTTTACAAGAAAGATTTTTAATAGCCTGAAGACACGAAAGAGAATCGAAAAGATGATATATTGTTTATATTTACGGTGTTTATTAATATATTTAAGAGCTGTTAAGATGGCGTTAGCTTCTGATGTGAAAAAAGAGCTGTTATTTAGTAATCGAGAAGATATTGTTCGGGATCCAATGACAGTGGTCGTCTGGCATAGTGTTGTGTTTGTAAGGGTTGACCGATTAGGAAGAGGCAGAGTCCATTTTGAACCAACGGTCGATCTTAAATGATTGTCGTCCAGAGGAATCGTACTTCCATCCACCATAACTGACGACTGTCCTGTCCTGCAAATAAATTGCCAGTACATGTCCATCGTTAACAATATCAAGGGTACCAGTAGTACAGTAGTATGGAATTCACTCACTACCAGTGACAACACGATTTGAGAGCGAGCGACTTAAGAATTTTAAGTCATATCGGCAGTATTTCAGTCATATCGTGGCTACATCAGGTTCTAGCTTCATAATAATTATTTAAAGGTAAATCATAAAAGCCTGTCAACGAAGGACAGTAAAATAACTAGATTATTACAGATATTAATCTAAAACCAGTTATTAATTCTAAAATATTTTAACTATAGATGACACGACACTATAAAAACAGGCTATAGATTGCCAACAACTGAAGGTAGATCACCATACTATGGACCATGGGGACTTACAGTACAGTTACTTGGACCCTAACTGGATTTACACCATCCCTTCAGCTGTTAGTAAGTTCATACAATCTAGCCATAAATTAATATACCGTATACACTACGGTTAAAGGTAGTAGTATGTTTAAATTTACTTTGAATGTTTTGGGACTTACGTATCCCATAAGGAGGACAATGGTTTTACAATACTTTAACCCAGACGATTTGGGAACTATACCTGATTTGAATGACTGAATACACTGAAAGGTTCGCCGCCTCCAGGGACTGGACTGGTCCCAGTGCATTGCTTAGCCTACAGTGATCGATATAGCCTCTTTTCCCAACGTGGTAGGTTGGTAAATCACGTTACACTCTCATCCATGTTTTAATGTTTATCACCTGATTAAACTGTGGTTACAAAGGTACATACAGGTGGTGAATCAAGCACCTGATTAAAGCCCATTGTCATCCTTATGTCATCTTTCCTTTATCAGTATCAAATCAGTAACCCGTAGTCTCATCACCTGATTAAACTGTGGTTACAAAGGTACATACAGGTGGTGAATCAAGTTCATTGTCATCCTTATGTCCTTTATCAGTATCAAATCAGTAACCCGTAGTCTCATCACCTGATTAAACTGTGGTTACAAAGGTACATACAGGTGGTGAATCAAGTTCATTGTCATCCTTATGTCCTTTATCAGTATCAAATCAGTAACCCGTAGTCTCATCACCTGATTAAACTGTGGTTACAAAGGTACATACAGGTGGTGAATCAAGTTCATTGTCATCCTTATGTCCTTTATCAGTATCAAATCAGTAACCCGTAGTCTCATCACCTGATTAAACTGTGGTTACAAAGGTACATACAGGTGGTGAATCAAGTTCATTGTCATCCTTATGTCCTTTATCAGTATCAAATCAGTAACCCGTAGTCTCATCACCTGATTAAACTGTGGTTACAAAAAGTACATACAGGTGGTAAGTTAAGCCCATTGTCATCCTTATGTCCTTTATCAATATCAAATCAGTAAACCGTAGTTACATGCGTGGTTACATACAGTCATGGTAACAAGTACAAACTTTAACCATGTTGTTCTTTACATTGCTTTCTGGCATAGGCACCTCACCTGGCGGTTATCCAGTGCCCTCTTCAACACCAGGAACTACCATTGCATTGACTACAACTCCTCAATCTTCAGCTACAACCCCAACTACCACCCCAACTGCTACAACCGTTACCAAATCAACTACAACCTCCACAGCTTCGGTTATAACTGCAAACAGCGTATCAACAACTAAATTCACAACTCTAACCAACTCAGCAACAGTTACTACCAGCCTAATTAGAATCATTACACCTACTCCAACAACTACGTCTCCGACAACTACGACTACTGGTAGAACAATAACAACCACAACCCCCACAACGTCCACTTCAATAAATATATCAATGTCCACTACGACGACCACGACCACGACCACGACCACCATAACTACCACACCTGATACTACAACCAAAACAGTTACAACTGCGACCACAACCACTACAACTACAACTACGACCCCTACAACTACAACTACCACTACGACCCCTACAACTACCACTACGACCCCTACAACAACTATAACTACCACTACCACTACAACTACTACTACCACTACAACTACAACTACAACTACAACTACCACTACCACTACGACTACGACCCCTACCACTACAACTCCGATAGCAACAACTACAACCTCTGTCATTGCATCGGATCCTGTTCCCTTCGTGTACCACCACTACACCCTATCCTGGGACGCGGCCCGTGTCGTATGTCAGAACAATGGAGGGGATCTTGCCTCCCTGGACTCTGCACAGCGACTGCAAGACGTCATGGACTTTTTCGATGGTATGTGGAATCTTATGTAAGGTGATGATGATGGATGATCAGAGATAAAATATTCACGTTCTTGCTTTAAAATTCTGTTACTGTAGTTAGGTGGAGGCTTTTTCCAAATTTCATGCACCAAATGACAAGACGTTATGTCTGATAAAAACAATTCTCTTGTCTTTTCATTTTGGGTTAGGAAATGCCGGTGAAGCAGGATTCGATCACCTTTATGCGAACAATTATTGTCATCACAATTTGTTAGTGATTCATAACACATGCACATGTATTTGGCTACATCGTAAGATCGATTCTGCTTGTTGTTGCAGTTGTTATTTATCTATCCACTGTGCTTGTTTTGCTGGACTCCCTTGGAACCTAGATCACAACGACCAATTTTCTACAACAATATTCCAACCATCAGCATATAATTGTTTCTCCAAATACGGAGACTATAAATACTTTTTCCCTTTGTTAGATCAACAGTCACTCATAAATTTTAAATAGGATTATATCATCCGTGAGTTAATCTATCGTTCTCTGCACAAAGCCATGCAACAAAGCCATGCAAGAAGGTTAAATGTTTTAATGAACAAAATCAACATCATATGTTGAGCAGGGCACATATTGGTCTGTAATTTCAGATTATCGATCGAAGGGGAATTCTGTCTACAATTCTGTGCATGCTGGCATGAAACGAAGCCCCTCCGACAATGTACTCTACTGGAACAGTGGCAACACCGTTGGTAGCATCACCGTCTGGGCACCGGGCTACCCGATTTCATCGGAGGGCTGTGGGTACACTTCACCATTTGAAAGTTTCCAGATGCGGACCGTGGCTTGCACCCATCTTTTGGCCTTTCTGTGTGAAACATCGGTCGTCACTACAACCACACAAGCCCCAGCCACAGTATCGGATCCTGTTCCCTTCGTGTACCACCACTACACCCTATCCTGGGACGCGGCCCGTGTCGTATGTCAGAACAATGGAGGGGATCTTGCCTCCCTGGACTCTGCACAGCGACTGCAAGACGTCATGGACTTTTTCGATGGTATGTGGAATCTTATGTAAAGTCAAACTGTAAGTTTTTCAAAATATTCAAGAAGATATTTATATCCTGATGATAGGATTTACATTATTCAAGGTCTTAGTGAATTTCTCAAACAGTGTTACGGTAGAAATGTAAAGGACATTTCAAAATTTGGAGTATTGGTGACAAAGATTATAGCCGATACAATATCCTAGTCGGCGTTACATACAGCTAAATTGACGTGTTGCTCTTGTGTACTCGATGTTACCGGGGCGGTAGGGTAGCCCAGTGGTTAAAGCGTTCGCTTGTCACAATGAAGACCCGGGTTCGATTCCCAACATGGGCACAAGGCATGAAGCCCATTTCTGGTAGCAACACTTCAATTTATCTGTATGTAACGTCGAACAAACAAGAGCCAGAATGTGATGCCTTCTTCTTATATCTATGATGTCAAAATAGATATCAACAAAATAATTTCTCTTAGCGTAAGACAACGCCACAAAAAAGCAGAGCTGACAGTACGATTTCAACAATAACATGTGCTTGTTTTTTTTAATCATTGTCAAAAAGAGATTATACGAGGTGTTCGCGAAAAGGTTTTCAAGGCTGATAGAGGTAATCCTGTTCTAACCCTCCGTCGGCATTTGATCTACCGAAAAGAAGGGAACGTAACGTCAAATCAAAATAGGAAATTGTATCGGCTATCATTTTTTCACAAATGCTAAGAAACATACTGATTGTTTATTTTTTATCTCTACATATCATCCCTATGATACTCCCCAGCCCTACAATAACTTTGTTTCTCAGGAGAACGAGGGCATATTGACAGAAGAACACTTGATCAAAACAGAGAATGCAAGGATATCATCTTTAAATCAGGCTAGCATTCCAAACACGATGTTTGTTTCTCTATGGCGTATGGCAGTTGTCCTTTCCCACCATAACTGGTTCATGACAATCAATGTTTGAACAAGGTTAGACCTGTGAAGATCCGGGTTAGAACTGGTTCAGCAACTCATGCTTGTCGTAAGAGGCGACTAACGGGATCGGGGGTCAGGTTCGCTGACTTGGTTGACATGTCACCGTATCCCAATTGCGGAGATCGACGCTCATGCTGTTGATCTCTGGATCGTCTGCTTCAGACTCGATTATTTACTGACAGCCGCCAAAAAGCTGGAATATTGCTGAGTGCCAAACCAAATAACCAATGAATAAAAGTCACATTGAGCATGTAACCTATTGGTCTGTAATTTCAGATTATCGATCGAAGGGGAATTCTGTCTACAATTCTGTGCATGCTGGCATGAAACGAAACCCCTCCGACAATGTACTCTACTGGAACAGTGGCAACACCGTTGGCAGCATCACCGTCTGGGCACCGGGCTACCCGATTTCATCGCAGGGCTGTGGGTACACGTCTCCATTTGAAAGTTTTCAGATGCGGACCGTGGCTTGCACCCATCCTTTGGCCTTTCTTTGTGAAACATAGGTCGTCTTCACCAGTGCCATAGTAGATGAAATATATTAGGTCCTACTCGTATCACCACTACACATTATCTTTTCATACAGCTCGCCGTGTATGTCAAACAATGGAGGGGATCTTAATAACCTGTACAACGACAAAAGATGTCATCTAGTTTATTCTTTGTTGAATCTCTTGTGTAAAGTCGGAAACAGAAACAAAAGCAAAAACTTTCTGAAATCAATGTGTCGTCTTTTTCTAAAGGGTTCTGTTTCCATACAATGCTTACACAGCTATCCAGGGACGTGGTAACCTGGTGGTGAAAGTGTAACGCGGAAGAACCGGGTTCGATTCCCCACATGGGTACAATGTGTGAAGCCCATTTCTGATGGCCCCTGCCGTGATGTCCCCCGCCGTAATACAGCTAAAAGCGGCGTAAAACCATACTCACTCACTCACTCACAGTTATCCCTGCTATGGCATATTTTGCAACTGAATGAAAAATATATCCCCTATGTGAATAAACATTTAATACCAGAGGAAGACATTACCTCCAGGTTCTCATCACTCACACCAGTCACACCTCAGAATCTATCCTACACAAGAGTGGATGAGTTTATTTTTACGCCGTACTCAGCAATATCCCAGCTATATGGCGGCGGTTTGTAAATAATCGAGTCTGGACAGGACACTCCAGTGATCAACAGCATGAGCATCGATCTGCGCAATTGGGAACCGATGACGTGTCAACCAAGTCAGCGAGCCTGACCACCCAATCCCGTTAATCGCCTCTTACGACAAGCATAGGTTACTGAAGATCAATTCTAACCCGGATCTTCACGGGTGCTTACACAAGAACAATAACACTAACACTACGAATAATAACGTCTTCTTCATGTTTGTGGTTTTGACTCAGAGGTCCACAACAATTCAGTAAAGTAACCTTCAATCACCATGATGGCGGTGGGGTAGCCTAGTGGTTAAAGCGTTGGCTCGTCACGCCGAAGACCCGGGTTCGAATCCCCACATGGGTACAATGTGTGAAGCCCATTTCTGGTGTCCCCCGCCGTGATGTTGCTCGAATATTGCTAAAAGCGGCGTTAAACCAAACTCAGTCAGTCAGTCAGTCAAACACCATGATGGCACATCTTACTGGCAATATCTCACTGTGTTGAGTATAGAACTTACCTTTGTTTCAAAACCAATCGATGTTACATCCTACGGTTTATGCACAAGCATTTAGTAATTGCTTAGGGACTATGTAAGGTTTTTAGAGTTCCTACCAATACTATAGAAATGCCGCAGCGGGAGACACCAACAATCTTGGTGTATAGACTTCTGTTTGTGCACTGAGCCCGTGTCTTTTGTGAAATGAATCACTGATGACGCGCAACCACCACTGCTTCGAAACCAAAGTGATTTCTCAACGCACTGATATGTTTGCACAAACAATCTGTTTTGCTTCTCTGTTCAAATGGATTCACTCGACAGTCGGCTGTAAACATGTAACTTTTAAACAAGGATTGTGCCTTGTATATAATCAATAAAACAAGCAGTTTCTTTACTGTTGTGTTTCTTTGGAACTGTAGCGTTTTGGAGTAGCAATGCAGGATTGGTTTCCTGTAATAATAGTGGAAGGCATCACGGTTTCAACTGTCCAGGCAACTGATTGTTTGTTTGTTAGTTGTTTTAACGCCGCACTCAGCAATATTCCAGCTATATGGTGCCGATCTGTAAATAATCGAGACTGGACCAGACAATCCAGTGATCAACAGCATGAGCATGGATCGACACAATTGGGATACCATCACGTGTCAACCAATTCAGCGAGCCTGAACACCGGTCGCCATTTTTGGTCAGTCGCCTCTCACGCCAACCATGGGTGGCTTAAGACCAATTTTAACCCCGGTCTTCACGGGTCGGCAGCTGATGGACTAAAGGCAGCATTAAAAGATCAACCCTGTACTTCATGAAGCATCCAAGTGTTGGTGTAATGAACATGGAAATAATGTCTGGTTATGGTCATGGCACCATCAGATCTTGAAATATCAGGATAGCTGCAGGGAAGATTTTGAAAAGATTATATTTCTTTTCAAGAATGGTTTCAATAAAAAGTACAACCAGAAATTATTGAGAATTTAAAGATTGTAATTTTTTTATTTTTTTCAGTCATTACTCACGTATTAAATGTGAATATTAGCAGAACATAACTCCAGATTCAAAGACTGGTGAACAGTTAGTATTTTGTCAAGTTACCATAGGCAGCAATGCAGGCTTCAATGCGGCGGGGCATACTACTGATCAAAGAAGTTAGAAAGTCGTGGTCCATGCTGTCCCAATATCGGACCACCTCTTCTTTCATTTCAGCAATATTTGTCAGATCTCTTATTGACACTTTCCTTCATAAGTCCCCAAACATGTTCTATTGGATTTAGGTCAGGGCTATAGCTTGGCCAATCTAATAATGTCATATGTTGGGTCCGAAACTAGGACTGTGAATGCTTTGAACGATGTTTTGGGTCGTTGTTCTCCTGGAAAATCAAAAAAATTCCATAGAACAAGTGAGCAGATGGAAGTAAATGTCCCTCGAGAATATCTGTGTACCGCTCACTGTTCATATTCCCTTCAAATACACAGATGGGCGTTGCCCCTAACACAGATATGCCACACCACACGTTAAATTTCGAACTGTACTTTGGGCGCTGATTCAAAGGTTTTTCAGTTTGTTTGGTACAGAATTTCAGTGTATTAGGAAACAGCCACACAGAACTTTCATCTGAGAAAATCACATTGTCCCAGTTAAAATGTCTATGCTGTAAGCACCAGTTTAACCTTCGCTCCTTTTGTTCAGGTTTCATGATCGGTGATGGAATTCCTCGTCTTTTCTGCCAACCCATTGCATGCAGCTCAGTTCTAATTGTCTCCTTATTGACAGCCACAGTTCCTCTATCAATTATATCCAGCCTTAAGTTTTCTAAACTCCTTCGTTTGTTTTTAGAAACAAGAATACCAAGCCGCCTCCTGTCACCGACAGTCAATTTTCAGGGCCTACCTGAGCCTCCCAGGTGCTCAATGCCATACCCATTTGCAATATTTTTCAAAACACGATAAACAGTGGACAAAGGGATGCCTGTTCTACTTGAAATCACTTTGGCTGATCTGAGGTCCTTGTTAGAATACTCTAAGATCAACTTCCTCTTCTCTAAATCATCCATACTGAGGATCACTGAAAATGTCGTCTGCTAGCAAGTAAACAAAAGGGGGATAACTCTTTACAAACTAATGAAAAAGGATTAACGGAGTTGTCTCTCTTGAATGAAACCAAGCACTTGATAGCTGGTCATGGTTGTTTATACTAGATATTCAATTAAACATATTCCTAAAATTCTCAATAATTTCTGGTCATACTATAGTATAACCTCTACCCCTAGAAAGCACCTACTAGTTCGTACCAGCCGTCCACAACGAGGATAAAGCGGTTCAATACAGAACAAACTTCATGGAATGCCACTCAAAGAAGATAAAGCGGTTATCATGGATGACCTTATTTATATGGTACACAACAAAGTCCGATGTACTCTGACTTTCCATGTATCTGTATCACAAACGTAGCTGATTCAAAAAATCCAAAATACAATTTAATCTGCTGGCTAATCCTAGATATGCTGTCCGATCCTAGTCTAGATATGTATTCCATGAGGTTCACATGCATCAATGATTCAATGATTTATGGGTGTTTGACTTCCTTCTGAAAATGGTCCCTTGAGTATTACAAACACAAATAACTCCACTATCGAATAGCGACATTGCCTGCGATCACAGCCTTTCAATGGAACGTACCTTAAAATAGAATAACTCTGCATGCGACATGTTGACAAAATTGAAACAACAACAACTGTATACATGTATACACAAAAGAATTTAGCGTGAGACTAATAAACAACAACAACGGTATTCACTTAATAAGAAAAAAATAATATAATAATTTGTATTTGTTTTGTTTTTTCATTCCAGATACAAATCTGTTACATTTAGAGGTCCATGCCCAGGTTACCAACGGACCCCGTATCGCATATGTCACGTTACACTGATCTGGAGTTTTTTCAAGAATTACAAGAACACACACACAGACATCCACTGATACATGAATAAATATTGTTTGTAGTTTTCAATAATCTATTATTTCAGAAAAAAACATTCTGTTGACTGATCCTTTGCAAGAAAATTAATGAATTAAATAGATTAGTAATTAAATACATTAGTAATTTCGGGAATTCATTACCACTCGGCTGCTTCGCTCTCAAAAAGCTTGAGATAAGGCATCCAATTTATATAAACCTTGAGTTGATTACTATCTATAAGATGCTATTTCTCTCTCGAGTATATCTGTATGAATTATATAATAAATATAATTAAATAAGTTTATATACCAATACAAAATTACCATAAACGAATTACAATGGTTGTACACAACAAAGCCATGACAGTATATACACCTATGGCAATGCATTAAATAAAGAATTAAATACACACCAGTAGTAATAGAATAAAGTCAGTGATTATCATATATCATAAAGTCAGTAAGTGAGTCACATCGGCAATATTTCAGCCATATTGTGACTTAACAAATTATGAATTAACAATAAACACAATAACATTTTAAAACACATGTCGACGATAGACAGTAAAACAACTAGATTATCACAGGAATGAATTTAAGACTAGTAATTAAATCTAAAATATTTTACCTATAAATGACAATACAATATAAAAACCGGCTATAGATTGCCAACAACTGAAGGTAGATCATCATACTAGGGACCATGGGGACTTACAGTACATTTGCTTCCTGCATGGGCCCTAGCTTGATTTATATCATCTCTTCAGCTGTCAGCAATTTAGATATATCTAGCCATACATTAAAATAACACATATTCTACGATTAAAAAAAGAAAGTTTAAATTTACCTCGAAGGTTTTGGGACTTACGTACCCTCCATATATCATAAAGCACTAACAGTGGTCAAGCTTTTAAAATAAGGCTAGGTATCTATATACAACCGCTTGCACACTTACATAGTCTTTATACCCTCCAGAAAGTTCTGCACGATCGTTCTATAGCTGTTCCGTGCGATTCTAGATAGCACCTGACTCAAACAGCTTTAAAATGTGATAACG